ATAACAATCTGTTCACAATCGTGATCGACACGATTTGTTTAATATTCATCCTTGTTATCCACAAATCGATCTACCAAGCATAAATAAAAAATGGACAATGTACAAGAAAGCCATACGTATCCTTTTTTAGACAACAAATTAACAGCGTAATTTTTTGCATCCATAAAAAACAATGCAAACAAATTGTTATATAAACAACCTTTGTCCGTAAGTTTACGCATAAGCCTAAGCATAATCATAAGCATAAGCTATAAGTAATAAATAATAATTAATAATTAATAATAATAAGTAATATTAATATACTATTAAAAACTCAAAGGCCGTTTTGGCAGCGATCATTGCTAAATGTAAACAAAATATAAATAAATGGAAAGATCTACATCGCACAAGCAGATGCAATTGGTGGATGTCGAATCATGAGACGAATAATTAGGGGATGGATCTTTAAATTATGCTAACTAGTATTACTATTATGTCAATCATACAATCAAATCATACGATACAATACATACGTCGTAATCTTGCAGATGAAGCATACAATACCATTAATATCACAGATACTGATATAAATAGATTATTTCAGTAAGATTGCGTAGATCCGCTGTCACGTGTTTACATTTGTCACTATACAATAGTTTCTATTGCTATTTAATATGCATGTGACTGTTTATTTACTCACACCTGCATACAGTTGCAGTTACCAGGATATTGTGTAAACAGTGACGTATTTCTCCCTGAATTTCTACAGTAATCACAAGCGGTAGTACAGTCAGAGCTTTGTTGACGTTGATCACACTTTTTATGTTAAGGGACAAAGTATTGCACAGTTTAATTTTTATACGCAATAACAATTTTTTTTTGTTGACTGTTCGAAATATCTAATTACAGCAAACAAAACATCAATGTGACTGTATAGGAGCTGACTAACGATGACGTATCTGCACGACTGCACAGGAAATTAGTAATTAGACAATAATGCAGATTGTGATGCTAAAAATAAACCAATATGTAGTACGAAAAGATATATAAGCAGCATAGTGTAGACTTAGCATCGATACCCTCCTTATCTTATCAATAAACGAGCATAAGTCTTTCTTGAACAAACGTTATAATTTTTATTTGACATATACGAATATTCATACGACTTTATTTCCAAGCTACGATATCCTGCTACAACTCGCTAAAGCTAGTTTTAACATGACAAAGTCAGAGGTGAAATAAAGAAGTGGCCAGAATTTATTCACGCAAACCGCTAATAGAGGATCGAACGCTCACCGAATACAACATTGAACAACTGTCACTAGTACTATTGATAAGTACCTTAACGGAATTACTCCTCCCCGATCTGACTGTCTGAAATTATTGACTAACAGAAGTCAAAAAATTCTGAAGACTATCCATAATAAGAAATCAACTGAAGAAATTAAAATAATGTAATCAATTTTCGCAAATACCTCTTTTCTCTTTCTCCGATATCCGATCAATAAAATCTTGGAACTCGATTACGTACCTTCCACTAGACGGTCACCGAAAAATCCAAAAAAATCGTTTAATATTGCCAAGAAAGCGTGCGCTGGCTGCGTCAGATACGGCCAGCAGTACAACTTCCAGCCGCCAACGAAAAAACGTAGTCCGCAAAAGCAACAGAAGCACTTTTTCAAAGTCATTATCCCCACCATCGTTTATTCAACTCAGTGTTAAATACACCGCTATAGCATGCGACGAATTAATCAAATCTTGGGGTACAATGAAACGTAATCAAGTAGTCAGGCTGGACGAATGGTATTGCGCATTCACTAGTGACATGATGGGCTTGGTTGCATCAGGTGCAAAAGAAGACTCGATGCGAATTTATTACGAGAAATTACATGGCGTTAAAGGTCAGGGAAAACAAACCAAGACACTCAGCCGGGGTGAGGAATATTGCATCCTTCGAATTGAATACCCAGACGCTCTTGCCTTTTTCGTTTTTGTCCCAAAAATTCTGTGGTCCCTCCCAATAATACGAAACCAAGTTCAACAATACCGCAATGTTCTCGATAATCTCACAAAATTTGAGATTGATTTTATCAACAAACGCAGGGAATTACTCCAAAAAACGGATCAAAAAAATAACAATAAACGAGATGATTTCTTAACGATGATTCTAACTCAAAACAATGATGCAGATTCTTCAACAGATATCATAAAACAGAACATTCGCGAAATGTTTAGACTACAAGCGGCAGCTTTCCGCGACACTCGACCGTATCGAAGAAAAATGCAGGTGGAAATGCTA